CAGCTCCATGAGCCGCTCCAGTCACCGCGTCTCGTTATCGGCGCTATTTAAACCAATGTTGTAAAATGACTTCTGCCCAGCCCAGATGTGCTCACATGTGCACCCGTGAGCCGTGGTTCCGCTGGAACGCGTCTGACCTCTGACAGACGCACTCTGAACTTCAGATCTTCAGCGCGCTGTTAATAGCCTGAATGGGAATCATTTCTTGATTTATTTAGTTACATCCACAATGTTCTGTGTGTGAGGTTTACAACGTCAGAACACCTGCATGAGACAGGTGTTAATTACAATCTGCCAGAATGACTCGCCACCTTCAGATTCCTCCAACACCGTTAAAAATGATCAAATACGGAACATATCGGCGTGCGCAGGCCAGAGTGCTGAAGCTCGGCGCATTGTTATTATGAAGCTAGGGCACATGTGGAGGACACACACACACACACACACACACACACACACACACACACACACACACACACACACACACACACACACACACACACACACACACACACACACACACACAAGCTAAATATACTTGTTTTCAGTTACATTTATTGTGCCCACTTACTTTTTCTCAGGCCCACCCACAAATGAGTTTCTGGCTACGCTAATGGTGACATGTGACAGACTTCTCTGAGCTCCGCAGCCATTACACTTTTCACCTTGCGCACCCCCTAGCGGCAGCTCGCGCCCCCCCAGGGGTGCGCGCACCACACTTTGGGAATCCCTGAACTAGAGGATTTCCAGATCAGAGGACAGCTTCACCCTGCTGAAAAACCCAGCAGATGTTGTGTTTTGGTGCTGGCATGCTGGTCCAGCATACTAGAGCTAAACCAGCTCTAAAACACAACACATTCTGGTAACCACCTATGCAGATCTATGCAGGTCAGGCTGAGGATGACTAATGGGACTGCCTGAGAGAGCCCGGAACTAAATACCAACCACCAGTAAGTTCACCCCAATCACACGTGCATGCATTCGGGGGGGTGAAGTGACTCTGGAGCACACGCACACCATCAGATGGGACCACCACCAGGGCTCGACCACCACTGTCAGCTCACAGCCTAAATGAAAAGAAAACAGAAAGCACGGTAAAAATCCAAATACACACACACACACACACACACACACACACACACACACACACACACACACACACACACTAAAACACAGCCACGACTGAGCAGGCAGGCCGTCAGGAAATGAGCGAGCATGCAGCTCGCCTACACACAAGTCTATTAGCCTGAGCCTCAGCCGTCTTTATGAGCTCCCGGGCCGACGACAACTGCCGGTAGGGCCCGCAGCCCCTCGTTGAAATACCCAAGCCCACAGCGGGTGTACGACCTCTGCTGGTATCCAGTACAGAGGAGCGAGTGACAAGAGCCGCTCCTGATGGTCTCCGCTGATCCCGTCAACCAGTCCGAGCAGCGGGGTGGAGAGGCCTTGGAGCCGGATGATGGTCCAGTACCGGGTCAACAACCGGTAAACAGAGATCCCATGAAAGCGTGCAGAAAAGCAGCAGAACAACAGAACAACAGAGTCTCCTGTGGAGACACACCCCTTCCTGGATCTGGAAGACACATTAATTAGTATTATCCTAAAGCCACAGCTAAGTGGAGAGGAGCGCAGATGTACATACCACTTGTTTGAAGCACATAGGATAAAAGAAGCCTTCCGTTACTCTGGGAGGACCACATACAACAATTCCTGTGGCAGGAGCAACCAGTAAACACCAGACTCCATGCAACTACTGCAGCGTTTTTAGATAGTACTCACAGTCCGACACGCCGGAGTCCTGTACACAATGGCGCTTCACACAGGAAGCGGAAGTTGAGCCAAAGTAAAAGATCGCTGTAGCGCCACCTCAGGCCCTATTTATATTAGCGCCTTCCCTCAATGATAGGTCGTCCAATTACTTGGTGGCAGGTGACTCATCCCACTACAGAAGGCTGCTGCTGCAGCCCACCTAAACCGTGGGGTCACATGAAAATCAAAAGTGTTTGAAATTCATTTTGTCCCTTCTGAGGGAATGGCACAGGTGAAGAAGCGCCATGACCCACGTCTGTTTAGCTATCATGTCCACACCATCGACATAAATATACTGGACATCTCCTTTCCATAGGCTCCAATAACACGTTTTGTACTAAAATGGGAGGTGGCCACCACCGCCATTTTGACCGTGTCACAGGTTCCGTCAAGCCCAGACAATTCCAAAAAAGGGAAGAGAGGAGGAGCTGAGGGTGGGGCTTGTTAATAATAGTTACTGCTAAATGAACTCAAGAGAACATATAATCATTGGTAATGTGTGTGATGAGAATCTGACTCTGCAGTTCATTAGACACTCCAGATGTTCCTGTTATCTGCTGCTCACCCCTCCTCATGGGTGTTTTTCTGCACACAGCGTGAATAGGTTCCTGTTCTCTGTTGAGATAGTAGCCATCCTGTTTAACCATATCTCAAGGCTGCAAGTCTGCTGTTTAGAGGATTGTTCAAACTTAACCTTGTACACACGTGACCCCTCCCTGCTTGAGTGAATAAATCTAGCCGTCTCAAACTGAGAAATCAGAACACTTCTAGCAGCTGCTGAAGCAAGACTGGAGTCCTTGCATGAGAGCGGCGTGTTCTCCCTCTGCAGCGGTGAATCTTATTTTGACTGGTATTTTGACTCCAACATCAACTCAGAAGCAGACATCTTTTTCTCCAATCGCTCCGAACCTGTCTTGGTCTTTCAGGACCAACAGGCTGTAGGGCTGGGATCAGCTGACAACACCCTGTCTAACTAGCTACAAGCTAACCTGAAGCTAACCCTGACCCAGAGCTAACGCGGAGGTGGGAGCTAAGCTAACGGATGTAGCTACCTAGCTACAACCAGAGCTAACTCTGTGGAACACCCATCGACCGCATGGAGTTCAGGTGGAGGTTTGCGGCACTTTTTCGTGAAAAGTATCTTTCTGTGAATAAAAAAAATTAAATCGGTAAGTTTATAAGTTATTTCCGTAATGAAAATATAATTTGCTTTGAGCAAGTTTTCACTATTTTTAACATAACGTACTTTCCGGACTATAAGTCGGTCCTGAGTTGCACCAGCTATTAAATGTATAACGAAGACGAAAAAAACATATAAGTCGTATTTTGGGGGGAAATTTTATTATTTTTCTTACAAAATCTGAGACCGAGCGTTTCACATTGCAAGACAAGTACCGGTAAAAATAAACGAATAATGTGCCGCAGCAGCGCGCCACGGTCTCCAGCAGAGGAAGGCGGTGTTTGAAACCCTCCCAGCGGGACAGGGGAACTCATTCTTGGGTCGGAGCCGGCCCGCAGCAGCGCGGGGTAGCCTACATATTTTGTTATATAAGTCGCTCCGGAGTATAATGGGCCATTCCCATCTGTACCGGGTCGGCCCGGGCCGGGTAGCGTAGGTTGTTTACATATCTGGGTGGCCTGGTATTTTTCCGGGCCGACCAAGGCTCATTCTCAGCCCTCTTCTGAAGGGGGTCTGCTTCAGGCCGACCAGGGCCAACACACCCACTGCTGACAGCAAATTCACACCTTCCATTAGAGCAAGCCTCTGATTGGTGGGTAGAATCAGCACACATGGGCTTAAGGCAAGGATGTGTGGAATCAACTGGGCCAGGCTGGGGCCGACTGGGGCTACCCGGCCCGGGCCGACCCGGTACAGATGGGAATGGCCCATAAGTAGCAGGACCAGCCAGAATATGTAAAAAAGTGCGATTTATAGTCCGGAAAATACGGTAGTTATTGGTATTTGAGATAAATTAGCAGGCTAAATACATTTCATATATTTCCAAAACGTAATACTTGTTTGTATCTTGTACAGCCAAGTAGCCTTTATTCTGGACTCAGTACAATTCACCAAAAGTAAAGAGACATTATACAGATGAAGTAAGCACAAGATAACTTACTGGAAGAAACGGAATTATCATCATGAGAACCAGAACAAGAGAGCCTGATAACAGTCATGTGAAAATAACAGTTAAAAAGTATGTATGTATAATAGAAATAAAAATATATTAGAATTAGTGTAACTCACTGTGATCCAAACAATAAATCAGCCATTAGCCATCATGAAATGAGGTCTGGGAGTTTTTAAGTTTTATTCTTTTATTACAATTTTTTCTTAGATCTGTTAAAAGGTCACCATGGCAGCCTGTGTGTCTCCAACATCAGCTACACAACGCAGCAAGTGTAAGTTCCAAATACCTGTCTCACCACTTCATGTATGGTTTTGTACTTTAAACAGCTAGGCCAAACCGGTTATTTTTTCTCCATAGCCATTTGGATCATTGTTGACAGCTACGTGAGGCGTGGTGCCCAGAGAGCTGCAGAGACCCTCGGAGACAACCTTAGCCTCCCTGACGTCTGTGTCTCCTGGTTCGGTTGGGGTGGACTGAGGTGGAAAGACCTTCTCCCCTTCTTTTTCAACTCCATGCATGGAAGAGCAGCTCCTGATGTCCTTCTCATCCACTGTGGCGGCAATGACATGGGGGTGGTCAGCAGTGTGAATCTGGTGAACACGATGGAGGACCTGCACCGGCTTCACCTTCTCCACCCTCATATCACACTGTTGAGAACTGTTCTTCCTTCACAACCCAATGTTCCACTCACTCTGCAGCTCTCTGGGCCCCTTTTATTATTTTAAGTATTTTTTAAATGTCCCGACACTTTGTGTCCTGTTATTTTATAAAATGTGACGTAAAAAAATAAATGCTTTTGCTCAATTACTGGAATTTCTTTGGTTAAGACAAAAAAGGAAGAATCATTTATTCCAAGTTGTTTCTACAGCAGGCCTGTTTTAAGTCCAACAGTTTCTTAGCAGCCAATAGAAATGTGTTCTTTACTAACTTTACTTGGTTTAAAAATCTTACTAAGAGTGCCGTATTGCAAAACCCAATCATACTTGTTATGTAAACATTAGCTTTGTAGATATTTTTTACAGATAGATATTTGTTTGCTAAAAAAACCATAAACCTAAATAATTTGTCATTCTTTATTGAAAAACAACAAAATACAGATGAGTGACTGGCCACCAGCTGTTTTTGTTCTCCTGCCAGATGAGATGATGGTCACAGGTGTGAGGATGCACCTTCTGTTATAGCCACATTAGAGGAGTGCAGCCTGGCTCAGGAGGAGAGAAGGAAAAACCACACAGAGTAGAATACTAACTAATAATTACAATTTCTTGTTGTGTAGCTCACCTTACGTGCACTTTAAAACCTGGACCTGTGCCTGCTCACAGCATCCCGTTTGTCTGGTCTTTGGAACTGGGCACAGAGAGGTTCTGGAACAGGAATGTTGTGTGAGTACTCCTGATGTGGGAGAGGATCCACCACCACAGAGTCGAACAGCAGGTCCATAAGCTTGTGCAGGTGGAGTTGAGGGTGGGGCTGTAAGCAGAGGTGGAAAGAGTACTAAAATATCCTACTTAAGTACGAGTACCAATACTTTGATAATTTTTTACTCAATTACAAGTAAAAGTACTTGCCTAAATTTTTACTCAATTTAAAGTAAAAAGTATCGTAAGCAAAATGTACTCAAAGTAAAAGTTACTTAGTTACATTTTTTTCAGCGTAAGGATGGCTACATCTAAGTAGTGCTAAATCACAACACCAGTTCACAATTCGCTCGTGTGTGTACACGCACACACACACACACGCTCAGCTTGAAGGAGGGATTTCTATCCAATCAGTGAGAACAGGACGTGCACATTGATTGGACGAGGTTTTTCTAGGATGGTAAGTTTCAATTGTGATTCAAATTATTCTTTATTTTGAAACAAAAATGTTAATTTTTAGATGCCATCGGTATGTGAGGTATCTCAATGTTCTCATGACAAAACTCTAACATGAGACTGTGCTCTAACCTGTCACATAACAAGCTAAATGAAAGTCAACATGTCAGATGGACCGTATGACAGCTGCTAACGTTGGCCCTGCCCTACTTTACCTCTACATTACAGTTCCTTTATCAATGTCCATCCTAGAGCTCCTCTCTGACCTTCATGCTTATTTAGAGCAGCTGATTTTTAAAGTTAGCAGAGTTCATCCTTGGTGGTGGGTTCACTCACTCATTTAACCCTTCACCACTGAAATCAGTTTGTTCATTCCAATCCTCCTAAATAATCCTCCAATCGTCCAACTGGAATCCTTAAGGGTCCCGTAACGTCCATCCTGTCAGAACAGGCCTTGGGAGCCCAGGTGTTACTAGAACTAACGGTGTCTCCTCACCAGCGTGAGCCTCCACACTGGGAAGGTTGGCCTCCAAACATGAACTTTATATTCATGCATTTATCTCCTCTTGTAGCACTTTAACGTGTTTTAAAAGGCGTGTATCATGATAAGTTACACCTCCCAGACCAAAGATAAGATAAAACATTATCATAAACACTATGAAGACGTCATTATGTATGAAATATGTTATTTTCCTGAGCCGTTACTGCAGCCTTGATATAAGATGCATGGATTTGATGAAACCATGCTGTCTCATGCAGTTCTATATGTGTAACACACACACACACACACGCACACTTACACACACACACACACACACACACACACACACACACACACACACACACACACACACACACACACACACACACTGCAGCATGTTAGAATATTTTGAATGACTAATTTAACTACACTGAACTGCTTTTGTAATAATTTAATCTCCAATTCTGGAGTAAAATAAAGAAACAAGCTAAATCATCACATATCTGTGGCATCAAGGAGCATCTTCCGAGTTCAAACACAGGGATGGAGCACAATGTTTACACCTGAACAGTATCAGGATGTTTTAACTCACAGAGACCTGCAGGTCTTCTGTTTTATGAGCAGAGCGCTGATAATCCGCTTGTTATGAGCGCTAAACGTTATTTTGCTGCTGCCGTGCGGAGCGGTGGAGAAACACAATTCAAACACGGAACCGAGTCCGGTTACCGAACCGAGCAGAATTCTGATGACGTCACACCGGTGCGCGAAGGTGCGGGATCCAACCCACAGGAGAGGAGGGAGAGAGGAGGTGAACAGCGAGTGGATCGACTGAACTGATGTCTTTGAGCTAAAGTGTACACCCCCACACCCCCCCACGGTTTAGATGCGGCGCTCATGCAGGTGTCTCTTTCCGTTCCGACGCGCCTACACGTAATATTTGTAATTTATTGAGCCTATAATTTATTTTTACTCAGTAACGGATATGATTTAAAATGTAGCGAATTACAATTCTTTTTTAAAAACTTACTCAAGTAAAAGTAAAAGTACAGCTTTTAAAAACGACTTAAAAAGTATAAATATACAAAAAAGCTACTCAATTACAGTAACGTGAGTAAATGTAATTCGTTACTTTCCACCTCTGGCTGTAAGGCTGGGATCAACTGACGACACCCGGTCGAACTAGCTACAAGCTAACCTGATGCTAACCCAAAGCTAACGCGGAGGTGGGAGCTAAGCTAACGGAGGTAGCAACCTAGCTACAACCGGAGTTAACTGTGCACAACACCAGAGCTTCTGAGTCAAGAGATATGCCGGGCTGACCGCTGGGTAAACCGGGTGGAACACAGAGGTCTCCGAGACCTCCACAAGCCGATAGCCCTCGCAGCACACAGAAGCCACGATCAGACAGAGATGCGCCGAGCTGCGGGGAGGAGAGAACCGGGTGGAAAACATCGGTCTCCCGAGAGCTCCACAAGCCGATAGTCAGAACCCAGCTCCACCAACATGTTATATTTCAACCCATTTTCTAAAGTGCAGCATTATGTTAAATGCACTGGGTTTTACCCTATTACATTTAAATTTCATGGTTAAACAGTACATGTTAAAATCTAAGCTCAGCTCGGCAGTGACCTAAAATACACAAATATAATTTTACTTACCGAAAAAAATGAAGTGGAGACTCCTTGGACGCTCTATTAGTGCAATTAATGCCACAGCAAGTCATTTTGTCCAACAATTGCACAAAAATATCCAAACAAGAATACACACACACAGAGACTCAACATCCCGGAGCAGTTTCCAGGCCAGACCGAGGCTCTACTGAGGCCTTTCCACGGAGCTAGCTCTGTGGTCACGTGGGTCTGATGCTCATTAATTATACAGAATTTTAGGCTTTTAATACACTTAAACAGAAGAGTGAGAAAAACATCCACCCCCCTCAGAGTTGTCATGAGTGTAAACTAGATCATTTAAACCAAAAACATGTTTTGGTACCAGGCTGTAAACATGTTTATTTCTGCTGTGAAATTGGTATTTTTAACATGAGAGTCAATGAGGATTTGCTCGCTTCTGACACCAGCCCCTAGTGGATGAGGGTGGAACTGCAATTTTTGGTACTTCCGGGTTGGGCCCAATTTCAGAGCCGCATTGTGGGGGCTTGGTCCACTCACACACACACACACACACACACACACACACACACGCACGCACGCACGCACGCACGCACACATCTCATGTTAACATCTCCTCTGCCTGCAGAGCTAATCTTTTCTTGCGCTGATGGCCCATTAACTGAAATGTACCATTACACATGGCCACATTTGCATTTGCCAGTTGCTTTGAGGGAAGCTAGATTCTGAGTTTCAATGTGCCAATGAATAGGTGATTAGATGTCTTTACCAGGTGAATGGATGCTTTTGCCACTTGGGGGAAAATTGTTTTGGGGAAGTGAGTTTCTGAGATTCAATGTGACAATCAATGTAATGAATAGATTTTTTTTTACCATGCAGAAACCATGTGGCCCTTGGAATAAAGTCAGACAACGGTCCAAAAGAATGAAAAAATTGGAATTTTTATTTTCTCACACAAGTTCCAATACTAGAAAAAAACAACAACTATATACAAAAATAACAACTATATACAAGTTTCAACAGCAGAAACATATGTTTCAAACTTTGCAGTCTTTGCACACCCAGTATCCATCATCCCTGTGTCACACCCTGTCCTGTCTCCCCATTTGGTTCAGCCTGTCTCTGTTGATTGCTCCCACCTGCCTCTCGTTTCCCAATCACCCAAGATCCCAGCCCTCTTGTATTTAAACCCCTCCAGTTCTGTGTCTCTTGTTGCCTCATTGTTTCCATGTCCTGTGTCCAGATATCATTAAAACCCTGTTGAGTTTTCTAGTTTCTCTGCATGCTTGCTTCCTCCCCACTGTTTGGATCCTTACCTCCGCTCCACTCACCAGCGCGTCCTGACACCCTGCATTTGGCACAGGTGAATCTTTGACATGCTGTACAGGTAAACTAGCTGCGATTCCGTTTGCAGCTGTTGTGGTTATTGACCAACAAATAATTTGTAAGCTTTACTTACTCTTTGGATTCATCAATAAAATTCGTCAATATGGAAATATTAACCGATTTATTACGTAATTAGGATATCTGTGGATATGCCTCGGGGCACCACCCCTTTTAACAGGGGAAAAACGAATCCAAACCTCTATCAATCTGTCTAAAGTTCGTAAAATTATTTTAATGAGCAGCGGTCATATTCTATCCAACACGGACAAATTCACTTGAGACAAAACTTAATTGGCAATAACATTTATTGACTAATATAATCACCTTAGCTCCTTCAAAGCACTAGCCAATCAATATCAACCAACTGATTTTATCAAACAAACAACAAGCAATGAAACCATGGAAGGATAATGTGAAGTAACAATCTTATCAGACCGGTGGGGTGAGATGGTAATGTGATCCAGCAATGGTGAGACTGCTTGATGATGTAATCAGGCAGAGATAGGCTGATTACCAAACTGGAGGGAGTTTTGAAAACAAAATGGCGGATCCTTTGTTTGGCTGAACAAAGGATCTAACTGTGTGTGTGTGTGTGGAATTTAGCTTGTCTTCCCAAACACGCACAATCAGTGGGTGTAGGACCCTGATCAGACGCGTATTTGGCGGTGTGAGCAAACGTTCACAGTAAACTTAATCAAAACACTTCAAATCGCTCCACAAAGATCAAGAAAAAAACCAGATCAGTCATAAAGGTAAATTACATATCCCAACAGTCTGTCAGCCTGGCCACAGCATAAACAAACTTAGATATTAAACAATACAAGAAGCGGAGCTTACTTTGAGATGGTCCGTCGGCGCTTTTGGTACGGAAGAGAGAGACCGTCTGTTAATTTAAAGCAGTCACGTGGTCGACCGCTTGTTTCGGACTATTAGAGAAGCGGGAGAGAAAGAGAGAGATGGAAAAAAGAAAAGACAAAAATCTTGAATGAACGAACACAAGGCGTCCCTCTGTGTCCGGGGCTGAGCAGATCAGGTGGCGTTGTTCCGTTGATCTCAGCAGCT